TTGCGTTTCACAGTAATAGAATATCACAGTAGTTGAAGTGTGTCATGAAGATTCTGGTCGCTGTTCACTGCTCGAGGACGTCGAAGATGACGCAGGATCGTCAGGTGGTGGGAATATCTGAAGATATTTTGCGTTGATAAACGAAGGGGGCGAGAGTCAACTTGAATTTCGCACGTTTTTGATTGAAATGAAATGGAAGAATGCTAAACGATCGTTTAATTCATATTGAATAGTGGGACAAAGTCCGCGAGATTCAATCGCAACAAAGTCAAATATGGCAGTCGACAAAGACAACTCTATATAGTGCTTTGGTAAAGCAGTTGTAAACATGAATTTGATTTCAGACACCGTATTGACATTGCTGTATTTTGACTGTACAGGTAACGACGGAAAAATTGACCCAGAGGTATTACGTTGTTATCTAGACATTTGAATTATTAATCAAAAAATTCCTGATGGGTTGTGGTCGTAATCAAATTGATTGCCAAGATCTTACTGTTGTTTAATTGGAGAAAATATGCCCATTTTCGAAATCGACGACTTCATGACAAAGTTCAACTACTGTGATATTCAATTACTGTGAAACGCAATTTCTGTAAAAGTAGGGGCTTATGAATCGCCGTCTCTAGTGAACGACAAATCAATGAAGTTGGCATTCCTTCCCACACTTCAATCACGCGCTTGATCATGGCCAGGTGCTTCGTCATGATCTTCTTGTTCTTCAGTCTTCCCCTCGTTTGCTCCAATCGCTTCCATTTGGCTTTGTCCCACGCTCAATCTCATATCTCATATTCTTGAATTCATATATGTTCATTCTTGCACGGCATGGACATGCACGGAATGAACATGATAAGCAACAGAATAGTCGGCAGTTTCGAAGTATCGACCGTCTCACCTGACTTTCTCTTCAAGATGAAACGAAATTGTAGCTTTTCGCCATTGGAACGAACGGAGAAGGTGTCTGTCACCTTTACGACTTGGGGCTTCGTGATTAAAGCGCGGGGGTGGGTCGACCGGGTTCATGTCTATCCTGGAGTTCGAAACTATTCGGAGGCTTAGCTTGAACCAGATTTCGCAGAAGCTCTTGTGGTAATCAACGACGTCAGAACCCTCGAGGCCATCCATGACACGTCCTACTTCAACATTCTACTCTTGAATCCAATGTGAATCACCAGTGGTGGGTCGTTGCTTCCCACACCGACGTCTGGGTTGTATCTTGACCAAATGCACACAATGTATCAATTTAATAATAATAGTAAATGTGAACAGCATTTCAAATTACCTGTCACATCTGGAAGACAATATCGTTCAAAATCCTTGAAATTTTTTAAAATTTTTAGGCATCCGCTACTGAAGGAAGGGCAGAGTGCAACCATAGAGCATTTGTTCTGAAATTCTCATAGTACATCAACGACGGTGCCCTGTACAGTCCCCGGTTGGATCTTGGACACATCCAAGGCGCTAGTGCAGCTTTGCCCAATTTTGAATGGTTCGAGGGCCAAGCTGAAACGCACGGAGATGGGTCGCCGAGGCCGCACATTCATCGCGCTGCCACCCCGTTGACACGATGCTCGAAGTACATTGAAAGCACTATGAACCTCATAAGTGGACTCGACAGGATTGTCTCAACGTTCAATAGCTCGTTGATCATGTCATAGCACTCCAATATCGTGAAGTTCCTCAGTGGCTATGCAGCGACTGGTTTGAATTATATGTCAAGCGTGTCCATACGACACGCCATGTGGGACTGGGCAGTCATTGCTGCCTTCCTTTTCTAGTCCCATCGTAGAACAAGGGTCTCATTCTATTCGTTGTCCCCACAGCGTTCATTAGCAGTGCTTGGTTAAGAAGGCCCTCCTAAACATCAGCGTCTATGTAAGTGGGCCCGCCGGTTGGAGTTCCATCAATGTACCATCAAGGGATTTCAGAATTGGATTAACAGTGGTCGAACGCATCGACGAACTTTCCGGACAATTTATCAAATTCCAGAGATCACAACCTCTTCGGTGCTTTTGCAGTAAAAATTAATCATTTTAAAAATATATATTGACTGTTAGAGGAATTATTCATCACCTTCGTAGTCACCTCAGGTGCAATCGTCGCAGCTGTCGCCATCACTTTCGATTTCGCTATCCGTGGAGATTGGCGTTCCGGCCGCATCGTCTGCTTCGCCAACGGAGTCCAGGTACGCGGCCGTTTTCACGACTTTGCGTTGACCGTACAGAGTTCTGTATGGTCAATGAAGTCGAAAATCCACTGCTCGGTAGGCGGCCAAATTCATGATAAAGCCGCTCACGCACGTCAGAGAACGTTGTCGAGGTATCGTACAGCCGCCCAACAGCGCCCTTGACGTAGGACCAAATCATTTCGATAGGTTGCAGGTTACTGTGATACGCGGCGTAAATACGACGTGATGGCCGCGATCCATGGCCTGATGCAGGATGACAGGTACGATTTTGGTTGTGATGTGGGCTTTTAACTTGACCCACAAAGATGAACTATATTCTTTGACGTCCAATTCGATGCCGTAGGTGGTGCACGCCTGCAACATTCGTGCCTTCATCCACGATCCTGAAGGGGTGTCGTCCGGTTGGCCCTTGTGGTACTTGCCGTTGTCTAACACAATGATCGCGTTGGGTTTCTGTAGAGCATCGACGTCGTCAAGCAAGCGTTGAAACCATGCAACGAAGTAAGCATGGCGTGGTAGTCCTTGGGTTGCTTACGACCTCCTTTAAACGCTTCGTAGGTCAAGAGCTTGGGGTTATCTCGACCGTAAGCAATTATGGCAGCTATGAAACAGAGCAGACGCCCATTGTGCTTCGACTTGGCGTCGGTGGCATCGTCAGGATGGTATATACTGTTACTATGATGAGAATAATGGTGATGTGTATAGGATTCATCCAAATAGGTTACCGGCCGAGGCTGTGACGACTAGTGGTGCGCACATTTGATAAAACATTTTAATTGCAGTAATTAAATATGTATTTAAAATACAGGTCCGAAAAAATGGGCATCTTTTATTCCAGTCCAGTTATTTCTGCGGACTTCGCAGTCCAGACTGCGCTGCAGTTGCATTACTGTACATTCCGGGTTGTTTCCTTCGCGATGGCTTTGTCTGGCGCCAAGAGTGGTCGTAAGCCTGATCGTGTCCACAATGAGTTCACCCTCATCCCGAAGTCGGGGAAATTGAAGTGCGATCAAGCACAGTGCAAACTTTGCTTCGCAAAGTGTGCATATGCTAAGACCAGCATGGACCGCCACATCGCGAACTGCTCTAAGGTAAGATCCCTTCTTTGACCTTAAACCGCTGACGTCTCTTATGATATCTTCATGATGATCCCAAAAGGCATTGGGTGTCTTCCACCTGGCGCTATCACGCACGATACGGCGACGAGACAGAGGAAGTAGGCGACGGGCAGCTGACGAAGAAGCGCTCATTGAGCACTACCACTACCAGCAGCACATCATGGCGCGCGAGCCCGATGGCGCCAAGTTGGTGCGATTCGATGACGGCTGCCGAGCACAGCGCGGCCGAGGAACTGCTGGGCCGGGCGATACACCGCAATGCTGCTCCGTTCTCAATGTTTGATGACAAGCACTGGCGCGCGTGGCTGAAGATGATACGACCATCATTTCGCCCTCCCACTCGCGAAGCCATTGGTGGGCGTCTTCTCTGTGCTGAGTACGATTTCGTCCAGACGGAGGCGATTCGAGCGGTGCAGGCGTTTCGATCGATCTGCATTACGATTGATGGCGCGACGAACAAGGCTAGCAAACATATCCTCAACGTGATGGCGGCAGGTCCACTTGCGTACTTCATTGAGCACTTTGTGATGGACCCGAAGCGCGAGACCGCTGTCAACTTGATGGGCAAATTGAAGAGCGTCCACCATCGCCTCCGCCTGTCGATGGGTCTGGCGCAAGACGACAACGCCGACGTGATCGCGGTGGATGATGTTCCAACGCCACCGGAACCCATGTGGAACCTGTGCACGGATTCGCCTAACGTCATGAAGGCGTTCCGACGGCAAGCGCTTCTGACGGGCCTATTTACGTTTGCATATGGGTGTCTGCCTCATGGTCTACACAATTTGTGTATGGATGTGAACAAATTCCCAGTCGTCAAGCGCATTATGTCGATCAATGTTTTTTTCATCGTCAACAAGATCAATGCCGTCCATCTGCTCACATCAATGTTCGAAGTCGTTTGTGCCGAGAAGCACGGGAAGACATACTCGCTCATCCTGTTTACGAAGACGCGTTGGGGCACAGGTTACTTCATGCTTCGTCGCAATCTGCTCCTAAAATCAGTCCTCGTTCAATGCCGAACTCCATTGACCCCGATGACAAGTTCAAGGATGTGGTGATAGAGCCGGAGCTTCGGTCAGCCTTCCTCGACGTCTCATTCTGGAAGTCGACTATTGCCCACGAGAAGTTTCTGAAGCCTCTGTGCATGACCATCGGCCATTTAGAAGGCGATGAGGCCACGTTCTCGGCGGTGTTTGCCAGCTTCCTCGTCACAGCACATTACTTCAGCTCCATTGACGACAACGTTGCGGCTCTTTGTGGCGTCACCAGCGCCGATTTGCTGGAGCTTGCCCATTCCCGTTTCGCATCCATCTATACGCCTGCGCATGCGCTCGCGTTCGTGACCGACCCATTCTATAACGCCTTGCGCCTGAACATGACACGTATCCATGGCGGTGCATTCCTCAACCTGGGCCAGGGGTCGTTGATGGGCCAGTGTCGCGTGGCATTGGAGCGGATTGCCTCTGTACACGGCATCACGCGTGATATGTT